TTTGCAGTAAAAGGGCTAAGGCATAGAGGTTAAAAGTAACTTGCCTAAAGTGCCTCAATAAGTGAATGATGGAGCCAGGATTCAGACCAAAGAAGGCTGGTTCTAGATTCCATTGCCTTAAGTGCCACCTCAGTGTATTGAGTCTTAACAAGCACCAGGCACTGTATTAGGCATTGGGGATCCAGCAGTGGAATCAATACAAAACTCCCTGCCCTCACTGAGGTTACTTTCCAGTGAAGGAAGTGGGACAATAAGTAAATAAATAAAATATATGATCCAGATGGTAGTAAGTGCTAAGGAGAAAAATAAGGGCAGGGAAGTAGGCAGTGCCAGGCGAGAGCCATAGCCTTGAATAGGGTGGCCCAAGGGAGACTTAATTTAGGAGGCATTTTAGCAAAGATCCAAAGGAAGAGGGTTCTCTGCTTCTCCTTCTGCCACTCCCTCTGGCTGACCCTGATTTACTCTCCCTCTGCACAGCTTCAGGGCAAGCCTTCCGAATCACCTGATCATGTTCCTTCCCTAAATGACACCCTTCAGTGGTTCTTCATTGCCCTTAGGATAAATCCAGTGCTCCTGCCATGGTATGAGATGCATCCTGATTTGAGGTCTGCTTCCACTCCTGTCTCTTCTAAGAAGGCCTGCTTCTAACTGTGATGCCCAGGGCAAGAGTACAAATAGAAACCCACATACCCTGTGTGTAAATGTTGAAAATTAATATAGCAAGCTAACGAAATGTTAAAGAGTCTACCCTCTACTTTGACAAATGCATTTTCATAGCAACTTAGGAGGCCAACTTAACTTTTATATTTGTTGGACTGCTCTGAGTTCCATGCTAGAACTTGACAGTCCAGGGAGACTGACCCCCAGCCCATGGTCTGCCTCCCTTCTCTGCCCACTGCCCAGCTCTGTCTTTCTGCATGCGTGTGGACACCTCAGTTCACATATCCATGTTCTAGCCACATTCTTGTGTTTATACTGCTGGTATTTCTTGTCCTTGGGGGAACTGAACCTAGGAAAGAAGTACACATGGGCCCAGGGAGTAGGCTAAGGGCCCTTTGGGCGGAGAATTTTAGGGTTTTAGGTGGTAGGAGCTTAATCTAGAAGGTGGGTGAGGGCAACACAGACTCTATGGGGCAAGTTGCCTTGTTCCCTGGGGGAGAAAATGTGCAAGAGGAGGGTCAGAGCACAGAACAGGGCTCTCTAAAGCACTCAGAGCAGCACCCCCTCATAGCTCTCTGACTCTTACTCATGTGCCAAAACCAAAGTGAATTGCTGGAACTTTTCAATATGCATGCTCTCTTGTTCCTGTGATTTTGTGATTTTGCACAGACTACAGAATGGAAGGGCATACACTTAGAGTCCTTGTGCTAATTGCCCTCATCTCCAGTGAGCATCCTAATCCAATCCCCCATCACGAACTCTTAACCCCCACCCCCGATCACAGGAACACCACATGTAGCAGCAATATGGTAGGGTGTAGTATGATATAGTGACCTGAGCGTAGGCTTTAAAGACCTGGTTTTGACCCTCTGTTTAGCCTCTTAGTGGTCATGTGACCTTAGGCAAATTCCATGCCTCTGTTTCATTATTCCTTACATGGAGATAACCATACCAAGTTTATAAGTTATTGTGAGGATAAAATGAAATAATGGGTATCAAGTGCCTAAGCGTAGGCTCTGGCATAGAATAAGCATTGGTAAAAAGTTCTTTTCCCTCCCCCAACTATGCTTCTTACTTGAAACGAAACATACAGAGCACCTTAGGAGATAAGACTATTTTCATAGAAAGATGCCAATTAGATTAGCTCTCAGCACTCAGCCCCTGGGCATCTGTCCCCATCTCCTGAGCTAGGGAGAATTTCCTAGAGAATATTAGTGCCTGATTTCTACTTTTAGTTGTCAGGGATTATTAGTTCATAGTGTATAGGCTGCTGCTGCTCACTATGTTTACATACTGGGATAGTCACTATTTGTTGTTAGGGATGTGAGCAAAAGGACAGTTACAGCAGTGGAACCTGAGGGGCAGGGAAACAAGGAAGCTGGGCATCTCGAAGGAAAGGCAGGACCCACGGTCAGCTCGCAGTGCCTGACATAGTGGGCATGTAACAAGTGGAAGTCAAGCTAAATGAAGCTAAGAACAGTGAGAGAAACCAGTAAACTCTAATAGAAAAATAGATAAGAGAACTCTTCAGGTAATCACAGGGAAATACTTATGGAACAATAAGCTATACCTGGTAATCAAAGAAATGTGTATTTAAATGTAATGCAGTATTTTTCCTAGAAGATGGGCAAAGATGTAAAAAGTTCAATGGCCAGGAGCACTTGGGTGGCTCGGTTGGTTAAGTGTCTGACTTTTGATTTTGGCTTAGGTCATGATCTCACAGGTTTGTGAGTTTGTGCCCCACAAACTCTAACAGTAGACGCTGTGCACTGACAGTACAGAGCCTGCTCGGGATTTTCTGTCTCTTTCTCTCTCACTCTGCCCCTCCCTCATTGCGTGTGCATGCACGCGTGCGCACACTCTCAAAATAAATAAACTTTAAAAAATTAAAGAAATAAAAAAAAATCAGTGGCCAGTGCTAATGAGACAGTAGTGGGGACGGGGGAGGGCTACTCTCATGCTCTGCTAGTGTGCACGGCAAAGTTGATTTGCCTTTCTGTAAAGAAATAATGAGAATGATTAAATAAGTTAGGATATAGGTATAAGATGGCCCATGTGTCATTAAATGTAATAGTTTTAAGACATTTTAGATATGAGGAAAAAACCTGTTGCAGTGAAAAATAGAACACTATATAGTGTGAAAACCTCATGCACAAAAAAGACTAGAAGGAAATAGACCAGAGTATTGTAACTTCTTATCGTGAGCTTCTCTTATATAGGTCTTTGACTATTTTAACTTTTCTATAAATTAGCAGGTGTTTCTCTTTTAATGGGAAAGAAATCCCATACATTAAGAAAAGTCACATTGCTTTCAGACAATAGGGCAGAGAGAATGTTTTATGGACGGCTCTGGCGACTTGTCGACTCAGTACGCGTCAAAGAAGAGGCAACTCCTTTCCTTTGGGATACACGCTTTGGGGAGAAATAAAAGACTCAGGCTTCCTCTCTTGTCGAGTCTAGTCATTTGTAGCAACAACTTGCCTGGGGAGTTTCCTGTCAAACTGGGAAGCCTAAGTGAGCTGCCTTATGCTTGAGACAGACACAAGGTCACAGGAGCTGTGGTCTCTTCACCAGTCTGTGACATTCTCAACGCTGGTTGAGATTTAAGAGGGGGCTTTGATTCCTTTTGTGGCCTAAATCCTCCAATTGTGGCCTTACCTCCAGTAGCTGTAAGTGATTAATAGGCGGTGTTACTCCTCTGTGGGTCACACAACAGGCACAGTGGTTTAAGCAAGTGCTATCTGGGTAATAGGAAATTAAGCAAAACACCCTAAAGCAATGCTACACCAGTATGTATATAAAAATGTGAATTGGGGCACCAGGGTGGCTCAGTTGGTTAAGTGTCCAACTTCACCTTAGGTCATGATGTCATGGTTTGTGAGTTCGAGCCCTGCATCGGGCTCTGTGCTGACAGCTCAGAGCCTGGGGCCTGCTTTGGATTCTGCATCTCCCTCTCTCTCTGCCCCTCCCCTGCTTGCACTCTGTCTCTCTCTCTCTCAAAAATAAATAAACATTAAAAATTTTTTTTAATGTGAACTAACCAAAATCTATTTTGAGTTATAAAATAGATACATACGTTAAGCAAACCAAGACGGATGGAAGGAAAGACCCCTAACTACCAAAACATAGAATTGCTTCCAAACTGACATGTTATAACTATTTTTGCTTTCATTTTTTTCTTTGATTTCTTAGGAGTTATACTTAAAGTCCAAGTGCTTAAATAAATTTTGCTACTTAATAAGTTATATAGCAACATCTTGATTCACTTAGCCTAATTACTTTTTGGTGTTCAAGATGGTCACTGTCACTTCATCTGGCCTTGATTTCAAGAGTAGTTTCCCCTCTTTTAACTTCCTGAAACATGTCTTTTTACATCCTGACTGGTGTAATGGAAGGACGTGAGACAACTGGACCACATCCCAACCAGCCCCACCCTTGGCCATCTAAGAGTAATCCGCATGACTCAGCAACATGATTTTTTAGAAGCCAATACACATTTTAAACTACAAGTAATACATTTTTTAATGTTTATTTTATTTATTTATTTTGAGAGAGACAGACAGACAGACAGAAAGGCATAGAGAGAGGAAGAGAGAGAATCCCAAGCAGGCTCCACACTGTCAGAGCAGAGCTCTATGCAGGGCTCAATCTCACAATTGTGTGATCATGACCTGAGCTGAAATCAAGAGTTGGACACTCAGCCAACTGAGTCACCCAGGTGCCTTTACAAGTAATACATTTTAAATACAGTGGTGGCAAATATATGTTATCAATGCTCTGTGTACCATTGCTAATCCACTGGTCAAATCAGCCTAGAGCCCACTGAGGAAAAAGATGTTTTGGCCCACTTTGAGTTCAGTGGTAAAGCATACCAGTGTCTGTATTGAGGTAGGCACAGGGAAGGTCAGAACCCGTACCAAAAGCTTTTCATGTCATGTTTAAGGACAGTAGGGTCCTTGTCTTTGAAGAGCTTGTATTCAAATGGGGAAATCATGATTCATGCCAGGAGCAAGAAAAGGAGACAAAAATTAAAAGAAAATCAAATACAACTCTGAACGCTTGCACATAAACATCCCAACAAGTACGACTGACTGTAGAGAGGGCTGAGTTACGTGCTAAGTGCTGGAAGAAGCCAGAATGCCCTAGGTCAGATGGGGTTAATCTAAAGGTTTTCTGAGGCAGTGCATTTTGAGTTGGGTTAGAAGGCAGCCAGGAAACATGGTGTGAAGCTGGAGGGGTCCAGGTGAAAAGGAAAGCAGCTTTCTGGATGCTTTCTGACTGCGTTCCCCAAAGTCTTAGCCACCCAGAGTGACCATGCCTGACCTCTGACCTCCCCACAGTGAGGACGTGTGCAAACGTGGCTTCACCGTCATCATCGACATGCGGGGCTCCAAGTGGGACCTCATCAAGCCCCTCCTCAAGACGCTACAGGAAGCCTTTCCAGCTGAGATCCATGTGGCCCTCATCATCAAACCCGACAACTTCTGGCAGAAACAGAAGACCAACTTTGGCAGCTCCAAATTCATCTTTGAGGTGAGCCAGACCTCTCTCTTAGCACCCCCTTTCCCTTCTCTTCTGCTACCCACACATTTCTCACTTCTACTTCTCCACTTACCCTACGATATGCAGGATGGCAGGGGCTGATATTTCAGGATTCGTCAGCTACTGTGGCCTTACCAGTAAGTCTTGGAAGGAATAAAAGCCCAAGAGATTGTCCCGGGCTGTCGGCCAGTCTGTTGAAACTGCTGACCCCGGCTGATTTGTGGCTCCTGACCCATGGGCTGCATGCTCTCCCACTCGCCCTTTCTGAGGCAGGCTGTGGTCATTAACGTGCGGATTTATGTCAAGCCTTTCCCCCTGACTTTCTGTCTTCTGCCTGGGGCTGCCCTGGGGTCTTCCCCCTGCGCACTCCACATCACTGAGTCCCCCTCTCTGTGTCTGCCCCTCTCAGACAAGCATGGTGTCCGTGGAGGGCCTCACAAAGCTGGTGGACCCCTCCCAGCTGACCGAGGAGTTTGATGGCTCCCTGGACTACAACCACGAAGAGTGGATCGAGCTGCGGCTCTCCCTGGAGGAGTTCTTCAACAGTGCTGTGCACCTGCTGTCACGCCTCGAGGACCTACAGGAGATGCTGGCCCGGAAGGAGTTCCCCGTGGACGTGGAAGGCTCACGGCGGCTCATCGACGAGCACACGCAGCTCAAGAAGAAGGTGCTGAAGGCCCCTGTGGAGGAGCTGGACCGGGAGGGGCAGCGGCTGCTGCAGTGTATCCGCTGCAGTGACGGCTTCTCAGGGCGCAACTGCATCCCGGGCAGCGCCGACTTCCAGAGCCTGGTGCCCAAGATCACCAGCCTCCTGGACAAGCTGCACTCCACCCGGCAGCACCTGCACCAGATGTGGCATGTGCGCAAGCTCAAGTTGGACCAGTGCTTCCAGCTACGGCTTTTTGAGCAGGATGCCGAGAAGGTAGGAGGGGAGCCGGCCAGACTGAAGTGGGGCTTGTGTGTATTGGGGGTTGCTGCTTAGCTTTTTAGGGGAACTTACAGAGGCTGCTGGTCCAACTTTCTGATTAATAATACTTTTGTGGAAAGCTTTAAAAATGTGCCTACTGGTTTGGGATGATTTATTTGGTCATTGATCACTGACTTTTTAAAAAGAGTGTTTATTTATTTATTTTTGACAGAGAGAGAGCGAGCGCACGAGTGAGCGGGGGGGGGGGCAGAGAGAGAGGGAGAGAGAGAATCCCAAGCAGCCTCCACACTGTCAGCACAGAGTCCAATGCGGGGCTCGAAGTCACAAATCATGAGATCATGACCTGAGCAGAAACCAAGAGTCAGACACTTAACTGACTGAGCCACCCAGGCCCTGATTGTTGACTCTTTAAATCTCCCTTTATGTAGTGTTTATTATGTGCCAGATACTGTTGTAAGCACCATGTGTAAATTAACTTATTTTAATCATCTCAAGAGTTGTAAGGGGTAGGTATATGACGGTTATCCCATTTTATAGATGAAGAAATGGGAAGGCAAATAACTTGGCCAGACTGAGAAGTGTGATGTGATTGTGAAGTCCACACTTTTGCACTGTTGGATGCTGCCCCTCTCAGGACATGCAGTGAGTGGTTCAAGCCAGCTAAGCCACAAGAATAGCAATACTGTTACCAGTCACAATAACACGACTTAGTGATTATTGTCCTGCAGTGTCCTTTACCGTTGACAAAGCACTTTCACATACAGAGTCTTATTTAATCTGTGCAGCCCTTTGATCCTTTGAGGTGGGTGGTGGTGTTTCTGCTGATATACGGGAAACGGGTGCTCTTTGATCCTGGGGCTGTAATGGCAGACTTGACGTATGAATCCAGCTTTCTTCCGTTTGAAGTACAAGGTTCTTCCTTCCATACCACTGCTTTCTGGAGGATTTTCCTCAGCTGCTGTGTACTTTCTCAAGCAAGACCCCACTTTTCCAGCAGTGAATTTTCAAAGCTTTCCCCTTATCAGGGGACATGTGAGAAAGTGAAAAAGAAAAATATCATATAGTGCTTCTTTGCCAGGGATACAGAAGTATCTTCTCTAGATTCTCTCCAAGCTAAAGAAGAGAGTTTACTATTATATGCACTTTAAGAAGAGTGAAATAGGTTTTCCTCCTATCAGTGTTCTGGGGATAACTTCTATTCAAATGCATAATATCACTCTTAGGCATACCGTGACGTTGTGGTAACCTGTGAGTTTTATAGACAGCATCTGATGCAATGGTTTTGTGTCTTTTAAGATCCTATATTGAAAATGTCCTTATGTGTTTGTAAGTAATGAAATCGGGATATAAAACTATATATAATTATCCCAATTTATGTGAGAGTGCCAACATAGGTATAAATGGACAAAATTCATCACAGTGCTGATAGTTTTGATTTCAAGGGTTTATGGTTATGGTTGATTTAATTTCTGTATACTTCTTTTTTTATATAATTTTTTTCATTTTTATTTATTTTGGATAGAGAGAGAGGGAGAGAGACACAGAGTGTGAGCAGGGGAGGGGCAGAGAGAGAAGGAGACACAGAACCTGAAGCAGGCTCCAAGCTCTGGCCTGTCAGCACAGAGCCCGACGCAGGGCTTGAACCCATGAACTGTGAGATCATGACCTAAGCCAAAGTCAGATGCTCAGCTGGCTGAGCCACCCAGGAGCCCCTCTCTGTATAATTATTCTGTGCTTTCTAGTCTTTTATAGTTCATAATCAGATGAAAACCAATATGTGTAATTTTTAAAGATTGCACAGCCCCTTTCTACAAAAGGAATTTTGAATCTCATTTAAGCCAGTTTTGGGAAGAGATATGTAGGAGAGTTTCTTGCACAACCTTAGGAGCTGTGAGGTCTCCCTAGCCTTCCTGAGGGCTCCTTGCCCAGTGGCCCAGTGCCTGGTTCCAGCCCTGGCCTACTCCCCTCTAGGAAGGGCCCCTTGGACTACAGAGTCACTGTCACCACTCACCAAATGACGAGAGACACCAGGTCAGAAGCCAGATGCTCTGTGAAGCCAGAGGCAGGTACTTTGGCTCTTGTAACCAATAGTGGAAAGATCTGGACATCTCCTTTTTACTTGCAGTCTCTTCTGCTCTGGGGCAAGGAATCTGCTTTACAGCCTGGCCTGGGTGCCTGTTTCAGCGAGCCAGGGTCATAAGGGGAGACGGAGGACTCAGGTCTGCCGAGAAGTGTTTTGTTTTAGGCACTTCCCTGCACCCGTGAAGCTCAAGGATATGGGAAGCCTGCATAGGGCACAGATAGCGCCTGTCTCACAAACAAAACACACAAAACAAAATACCTTAACCTCAGAAGTCCCCAGGTAGGGAAGGCTGACCTTCTAGAGTCAGCCAAGCACCAGTCAGCCAGGCAGTAATTTCGGCCACACATGTATCTTCTCAATTCATGCTTGATTCTTTCTCTAACCCAGAGTGTGATTTTCTCAAGATCACACTCTTGGTTAGACAGAGCTAGTATTTGGTCTGTCTCCAAAGCCCAACCTAACTTTTAACCCAATAGCCCTGCTATCTCTCACTCCCAGGACCTGCCTCTTGCTACCACTGAACACTGCCTGTTAGCCCCTTAGCCATCTGGCCCATGCCCTGATGATTCTGGGGACGACCTCAAATCCCACCTTCAAAGGCACACTCAACAGCAGGTGCTTTTAACCTTTCTGTGCTATGGACCTCTTTGTTCTGGGGAAGCCTGTGGACCCTTCTCAGAGTAACATTTGTAAATGTACAAAATAATATATATGTACATGTACACACACATATGTGTATATACACACACATATATGCATACATATCATACATATATATAATATATGTATATGTATGTATCACACACACACACATATGGCCTTGAAAAATAATTATTGAAGTACAGTTATTACATTTTTTTAAAATAGCCATAACTTGAATACTTCTTTAGGAACATTGTTAAATAACAAGTTCTATTTGAAGTCTTCTACCTACCATAATTTTGAAGTAGTGATGAGCATAAGTGACATTTCAGGGCAAAACCTGATGTGATCTGAGTGTGTGTTTCTGTTGATGTCAGAGGCACAAGTATTGCTAACATTAATGTAGTTTGCTGCCTACATTCATAACGGAAAGGAATGCTATATTTCAGTTACATGTTAGTGACAATAAAGGCATATTTTTTTCCTATCCAAGTACACAAGCCCTGAGTTCTCTGCAGAGACTCTAAGTTAGGATCCATGTTCTGTGGTGTATTCATACCATAGAAAGAAGTATGTGTGTGTGGCATGTGTGTGGTGTGCTTGGTGTGTGTAGAGGGGGAGGGGAGACAATATAAAAAATGAAACATGAAGTTCGGTTTGCGGTCTAGTCGTTTGTCGGTCCTGACTTCCTCCTCCTCAGCCCAGGTCACGATCTCGGGCTGGTTCAGGAGTTCGTGAGTTCGGCTGGTTTTGGCTCTGTGCTGATGGCTCAGGAGCTCAGTCTGCTCCTGGATTCTGTCAGGTTCTCCTTCCTCCCCTCCCCTGTTCATGATCTGTCTCTCTCTGTCTCAAAAATAAATAAACGTTAAAAAAAAAAAAAAAAAAAAAAAAAAAAATGAAACATGGAGTGAAAGGAATGATGGGAAGAGGGCAGCTCAGGAATATTTTGATATTGAGTCAGTGGTGAAAATGTTGCTCAGGCTTGACCCAGCTGCCACAGAAAATGTGCTCAGTGTGGGGCAGGAGAGAAAACAGTCCTTTTAAGTTGCTTCAAATTTAATTTAAAATATCTGTGCAGAATCAAGTGCTCAGCCCTTGACTTATTTGGTGTTTTTGAAAGGGGATGAAGAGGGTGGTGGTTTGGGGTAAGGGTTGTCTGCGTGGATCCACATCTAAACAAGGGTGGGAGGAAATAGTTACTGCATGAGCCATGTCCTAGCCTCCCTTCTGGTGGGAGTCTTGTCGGAGGCCTGTAATTCCAGATCTGGGAAACTCTTAGCAAATCGAGGAGTCTGGTGATCACCCAGCTCCTACTTTTGTAAAGAGGTGAGTGCTGGGTCTGTCACCTCTGGCTCTGTGGGGTGACAGCTGTTTCCTAGGGCTTGAATAATACGTGGTACTCCCCATTTACCACCTGGTCTTGGGGAGTGAAGCCATTTCTCATCACTTTCCTCTGACCCCTGAAATGATCCTTCCTCATCTTGGGGGTGGTGAGGAGGGAGCCATTTTCTCTGCCAATTAAACACTTAGGGAGGAAGGACTGTGTTCCACGATAACTGGTAAAGTAGGCCGCTATTCATTTAATGAACTTCTGTGAGCAGTTGTCATGATCCCCAAACAAGGCACTTGGATAAAGATGAATAGGCTAGAATTTCTGTCCTGGAACAGCAAGCTGTCACAAACTGCTATTTATTATTACTTATGTCTGCTGTGTGCACCCCATGCCCTAGGCACAACCTCCATGATTGGGGATTTTTAGAGAAGAGGGAATATTGCAGCTCGGAAATGTTAGGAAAACCTTAATGAGCAATTTGTGGGAGGGCTGGGCAATTCCGAGGTGATACAAGTAGTGCACAATGCATCTTGTTGGAAGATGAGCAGCACTGCCTTGGTCCTGTGCTCTCTAGCCTGTAACTAATGGGCCTGTCCTCCACTGTGCTCACAGAACACAGGCGGGCTGTCCTCATTAGCCAGGTGCAGATTACGACTCTCTTCGCAGACCTGTCTCACAGCTGATTGCCCCCACAGCTGCAGTGGACCTTGTATGATGGAGGTGTCTGCCCTGCAGTCATATCCCATTACCAGAGAGAAGGGAGGGCTCTTCCCCAGTAGGGGGCGGTTTGTGGTATTAATGTCGTTAAGTAGCCTCATTCCATGCCCTCTTGCTCCTCAGTGGAGGATCCTTCCTAGCTGCTCCCCTCCCTTTCCTAGGTGCCTAGGGCACATCTTAGAATGGCAGAACTGGAAAAGACCTTGAGATCAGAAAGTC